ATATATACAATAAGATTAATGAGGTTTAAATAAAATTGTCTCTTTTTACATAGTGGTATGATAGGTCTGTTAGATTTGAGAGAAAATGCAGATTCACATAAATCGTAATTCAATTACACATTTAGAGGTGATAGGTGGCAATAGGCAGTAAACCCAACAGTTGCTTTCAGGAAATAGTAAACAAATTAAAAATACTTTGTGCTACCAGAGTATTCTCTAATTTATTATTCTCTATCAACAGTAATAAAAAAAAAAAATAAAAGAGCTCAGTCCTGGACCTCTGGACCCTTGCTGCCCACACGGGTGTATTTTAGCTCTCATGCCAGTCCTCTTTAACCTGCTTGGAGGGCTTGCACAGCCCTGGGCCATGCAGCACATATGCTCAGTTTCATGTGATAAAAACACAACTTAGTGGGTTGCAATTTGGTAGGATCTTCTGCTTAAGAGGGAAGCTGGCTTAAGCTGCAAGGCTGTCTTCCACTCAGTGCCTCGTAACTCCAGCCCTCTTCCAGTTAGCAGGACAGAAATAACCTAACTATCCATTTCCAGAACTGCAGATGTTTTCCCAGAGCAAAGATCTGGAGCCATTATGAGTGATAAAACATTAAACCAGATGGACATTGTTTTGTTTTAGATGTGTCACTGCATGTGATACTGCAGTGCAGGAAAAAAACAACATTTAGTGGCACCAACATTGCAAAAAGCTACAGGTCAAGCAGGGATATGGTATAACTTCTATGTAACACAGAAAACTTTCTATGTGGGAGATGTTTACACAGAAAAAGAGTAGTCAATGTGCAAATGGGTGCTGACTAAAGCAGTGTCATTAATTCCTAGTTCCCAGAGGGCAGAATGAGCACGTACAGGTTACAATATTTGCTGTACATCAATTAAGGAGCTGCCACCAATAAGGTATCCTTATCCACAGCTGATAATACAGACAGGGACTGAGGGAGTTTGGAACCTATAGGATGAGGAAGAAGCTATATTATGAAGGTATAATAGTGCCTCAGTAGTCAAAAGAGGATTTTGGCATCCTAAAAAGAACAACCAGGCATTTCTCACGCAGTGAATGGATCAAGATCCAGAAGGCTGGGAAAATGAATCTATCATTTTGTGACTTGCAGCATGTAAGGAACTGAAAGCAAATGGGGTTCCTGCTTCTGTCACAGCCAAGCATAAATTGATTGGCATTTGGTGATGTGCAGTCTGGGGAAAAGCAGTGTGGCACAAGAGAGCAGGCGGTAAAACAGCACATTGCTCAAGCGCTGAACAAATGGAAGGAAAATATGCTCTCCCTAAACTTCATAAAATGGATTGTGAACAGACAGCACTAAATCAAAGATACCCAAACCCTCACCTCCACCCCAGCACAAATATTTCCTTGGAAACACAGCTAGAAACCCCAGCACATCCAGATTTAAGGCTAAAAAAAAGCAGAAAAAAACATTTGAAGTTGCCAAGAAGTTTTTGAAATCTGATTCAAACAACCTCAAGCTGACACAGGTTTCTCAGCTTTCCATGACTGAGCTTTGCTTTGGAGCTAGTCACAAATGGAGACATTAGGCAAAGGTATGGGATCTACAGGGTCAGACCCCAGTGAGCTAAAAAAAAATAAATAGTTGGCAAAGTCTGCAAGTTGTGAACCCAAATACAGCAGCCAGGAAATACTAGACAAGACACCAATACAGAGAGGAAGAACAAGAAATTGCCTGTGTGTATGTGCAAGAGCATTTTCTGGCTTAGGCATGATTTTTCTCAAATCACCACAGCAAAATGCTGCACACAGCCATCTATATTAAGTTCTGCTGCAGACTAATTTTTTAACAGCAGAATACAAACACGTGGCTATTGTCTGGACCCCTCCAAAGCTGGTACATCAAACCAAAGGGCAGCACAGAATGCCCCGTGTCCAACTTGCTGGTTCTTTATTCCCAAACTACTTTTCTTCATTCCTATCCAGCTCAGTCCTTGCACCAATGGTTCAAAAATCTTTTTGAAAGCAAAATTCTTGTTCTTTTACTTGTAAAGGCACAGCAAAGCTACCTGAAAGTGGGCCAAAAAAGGGAGAGTATACCTAGATCTGAACCAAGGGTGTTGCTACCACCAGGAAAAGGAGCTGTAAGTCAGTAAGAGTGGGGTGAGCAGAACACACTGGCAGCTGGAAGGAGCCAGAGAAAAGGAAGTGGGATAGACAGAAAAAGAAACAGCCACTGGCTGGACCGAGCTTGGGAAGGCGGGGGGAGGAGTACCCAGGTGCCAAAATATGCAATCGTAACCCCATGTATAAAAATTAACTTAGCAAGAACATGGTAAGAATATACAGACGTTTACATGCACACAAATACCCTGAATTGCAAATAAACTACTTCCAAGTAAGATTTTTTTAACTTCAATTTTCAGCAAATAATCACCCTCTATCCGCAGACCAAAATTACCTGTCGAAGATTATAAAATAAGAGTCACAGGTACTTTTCTTGGCCTCAAGCACATCCCCTTCTTCTCAAGGTAACTCTCTCCATTAATTGATTAGTCTGCTCTTTTCATTAATTGTGTTCTGATGAAGCAATCAAATAAATGAAGCATATGCAAAGGAACGGACACTTCTGGGAGAAGACTTGGTTTTAGGAAGGTCAGTGGTAGCACAGGTAGGTTTCATCATCTTGGAATACATGCCCAGGTTGCCTCAAATGACACCACTGAAGCTTTTCAATCTGTGGCTGTTCTGATATAAAAAGCAAGTCAAATTGTACCTAGAGCTCTACATGGAGCTTCCTGCTTCCTTTTGAATGCATAAAGACTAAGAAGGGACCAAGGCATGGCAGGCAGAATAATGAGATCTCTTACTTGATTTCTATTTTGTAGAGAACAGGGTAGGAGCTTGGCTTCTAATTGTTACTCTAACAATAGCCTATAAAGCCCCAGGAGGACATTATCACAACCCTCCCACTTAGTTCATCATACAACTGAACATCTTGCAGCCAGAAGATGCTAAGGAAGAAAAAAAGCCAAAAACCACCACAACCCTCAAATCATTTAGGCTTCAAAGTTGTCACACAAGGGAAATTTAAAGCCTTGTATTGTGAAATTTAGATGCTGAAAACCCTCCTATTGAGAACATGCATGCTAAGCTGAGCCTCAGGAACCCTTTTCTCAGCTCTGGTGGCTTAGATGCACAGACAACCAACAAGTCTGTGCTCAGGGGGTCAACACATGCCACAGGTCACTCACAGCCCACAGCCACTGTCATTCAGGTGACATTTAATTCTGGTGGCTCCCCGGCTTCATACTACACTGTCTGTGGGCAATCACTACTGAGTCTACTTTCAAATCACTTGAACCCCCATCTCCACCTCCCCAGAGGGTGGCTTAAACCCCCCAGGACAGACACAGAATAGACATTTTTCTCCCAGCCTGCTACTGGACACCTCTATAGCAGAAAAAATGACTGTGATCTGTAGCTCCTGAAAATAAAAAAAACAAGAGCCCCAGATTCCTCAGTTACTTCTGGGTTTGAACTGATAACTGTTTGATGTGAAACAAATGGGAAGTCCTCGTTTTCAGCTGAGTTTCTAACCCCTGAAGATCTAACCTGACTTGAAAGTCATGTATGTAGATCTGAAGCCAAATCAAAACTCCATAAAATTCATTGTAATTGTCTCAAAACAGTTGATTTATGCTTCAGTTTTCTTGAGTGAGTTTTACCATACCCAGCCTACACATTCTGAAATCGGAATAAAATTATCAAAGCTGCACAAGAAATATGGGTACACATGAAAATGAAGAAATCACAAAGTTGCCTTTTTTCTTAGAAATATATTTTGTAAGAAAACAATATTAACATTAAAATGAAATGTTTATTATACAGTATAAAATAATTGCTTGAATTCAACTCAATTCCTTTAACAAAAAAAAATATTTTAAAAGCCTGAGGATTTGTATGAAGCCCCAACTCCCACAGATTTGATTCCTACTGCAATAAATAGTGGGCTTTCCCCACATCACCCATAGAGCACACAAACACTTCAAAACCCTCCCTCATCCTCTTACCCACCAAGCTGCTGTTCCCTGTCCAGATGTGCTCTAAATTTAATCACCTCAGTATTTGCAGCCCTCCCCTCTGGCCCCTATACCCACCCTCAGATTCCACCCACCCACCTCCCTTGGCCAAGCACTGCACAAGCGACAACTCACACTGCAGGAGTCTCCCCAGTTAATCTCTTGGCTAAAGTGAACAGTGGCCAGCCACTGACAAATAATGTATAAATGGCTGAGTTGTTCTCAGCTGTCTGTCCTCATAAAACCTGCAAGAATATCTCTTAACTCTGCCATTCATCTGCCAAAGCTGGCAGAAGGGTGCAGAGCTTTAAAAGCTACAGTGGGAGACAAGAACAGGCAATGCAATGACATAAGCTTCACTTTTTCAGGAAACTAAGCTAAAAAACTTACTGTTCAATTGCAGAATTTAACACTGGCAGATTTTGTTGTAGAAAAATACGCCTGTTCAGAAACTATAAATACCCCTGAAACATTTCTGGGGCTTACTATGTATTAATATTTTTTTTATTTCATTTTTACATAATACCAGCTTAATTACCCTCCAGGTTTGAAAGGCACCCAGTGACCAGCATTCTGGTGTAATTACTCATGGCATTGGTGTGATTTCGCCTCCCTTAATACTGACAAGTTTAAAAGAAATCCATTAAGTTAAGAAGAACAAAGATATATATTACATTTGCTAATTGCAAACAACCTCTTATAGCTGCATTTTTTCCCATTGGGACTAAAAAGTGCACCAGTTTAACATGTCTGTACATAAAAACAGTTTAAAACATTAAATATACAAACAGCAAGAGATTTTAAATATTTTGTATCAAATACTATAGGACAATATAATTTACATTTTTTTTTTACACAAAACATTACACCTGAAATATAACTTTAGATATTACAGAATATAAAAATACATACTTTTTGTTTAAAAAAATGTCTTTGCAGGTTCTGGCACAATGTAATACTTCAAAGGCACACCATAGTTTGGCAATCTATATTTGCAATTAACTGTGCAACAATAATAACATGACCTGTAATTAACTTTTTTTAGAACTGCAAGGCCAGATGATCTCCCTTCTTCCTGGAATGGCCCCTTTAATCAGGTAAAAGCTAAGTTGAACTGTTTAGGTGTTCTCCAACCCATTTCTGCCGTGGTCTGAGCTCTCCAACCCTAATCCAGCGAAGCAAAATCAACCCCAATTCAACACATGAAAAGCCACATCAAATGCAATGGGATTAGTCACACTTTCATAATCTTTGCTGTCTCAGAGTCAGAATACTCAACCCCAAGTAAAATGGAGCCCTGAATGCAAGTTGGGAGCCAAGCTCTGTCCTGCCCTAAGTTTGCACCAAAACTAGTAATCAGGGCAGAACCTGGAAACAGAAGCTCAATAATATTAATTGTTCTGATTTTAACTACAAATGCAAAGGGCACACTGACTCTTGTGAGGCCAGTGGAGACAAATGAAGTAAAACTGCTTTAAGACTAAATCAGGAGAACTGTGCAATTTTGTCCTTCCATACATTTGCAGGACTCCTGTGGAGCCTGTGTGGGACAAAAACGTGTCTTTAGAGATACATGGCTTACACAGATGTAACTGGGTTGCAGAAGATTTTCAGTTCTTCAAGTTGTTGTTGGACAACTAAAAACTCAAACAATTTTCAGCACACTAAAGAAAGAGTCAATCTAAATCCCTAACTTTAAATGCTCCAAAATAAGTTGCTTCTTGTGAAGAATCCAGTAGCAATGGGTTTGATACCTGGATACTTATCATTTCACCGGATTTTAATTTAAAAAACCCCCCTACATTTACAGAATAAAAATGAAATTCTGAGCTCCCTGACCAGTATTGGGTGCTTCCTCCCTTCATCAACACATCAAAGCGCCTTATTTTAAAGTTTGTCTTAATCACATACACCATCAACTGAAGCCCTCTTTTAGTCAAGTTTCCTGAAGTTTCATGATGTCTAAAACAAATATTGGCATAAAGATAGTAAAATCCATCTTGATTAACAATTAGTTTTCCATCACTGAATGTCATATTTGATAAGTTTGCCTGGCCTTTGTCATGATGCCAGGATGTGAGGTTCACTTTGCCAGTTCCTGGAGATAAAAAAAAAAAAAAAAAAAAAAAAAAAAAAAAAAAAAAAAAAAAAAAAAAAGGATTATTTATAAACATTTGACAAACCTCAACATTTAGAAAGCAGCCTCTATGTTTTTAGAATGAACAGCAGCTAGGGTTCTATAGGCTAAAGTGAATAGGAAACAATTATGATAAAAATTCCTAAGAAATTTCCTCTTTTTATCATACACACCTATATTTTGCTTAGTATTTATAACTGTGCCCTCCCAGCAAAACATCTGCTGGACTGTGGTACAAAACATTTGCTTGGCCTATAGTTTTATTATGGTAAGCAACCATGCAACAAGTTCTGCACAGACATTGCATTCCACCTAAAACTTTATTCAAGTTGCAAATAGTTGAGAGAAACTTGAAAAACTTGTTATTGGTCTTTAACATGTGAGTGGTGACAAGGAATAAGTAAAGTTCTGGGGGAAAAAAAAGCTGAACTGACAATTCCCAAAAGAGAAAGCTTATGAAACCTTCCATATTTTATGTTTGTATGACTGCAGTGGTAGAAAGGTAAGCATATTTTCATTTGACAGCACCAAAAAAATGGGGAAAGGTCAGTACAATTTTGCATCTTTAGTACTACACACTAAGTTGCCTAGACTTTATGCAGAACTTCAAGTATTTATGACAAGCTACCTGACAGGCACAAACCACTAACATTCTATTATTCGGAGTAATACCCAGGGCATAACACAACAGATGGGAGGTGGCCAACTTGTCCTTCTAACCAACAGTAATTTTCAGCACACAAGACTGACTCCACTTGCTCCCTCCCACAGCAGTGGGTTCACGTAGGTACCAGAGGACTTCATACCTCAGCCTCCCAGTGCTTGAAATATTCAGTACCTTATTCTCCCAACATCGAACCAGAACAGTCCATCCTTAGCAAACTTTCCATGGCACACAGCAGGGCACAGTGCCCTCTCCTCCAAGCATCTACAGAGGACCCCAGGACCCCCCCAAGTGTGTGCAGAAAGGGAAGGGAAATAGGAACAGGGAAATTTGAGAGAGATGTCTTCCCTAACTGCCGAGGGCAAGTAACTTTTCCATGTGAGAGGAATACTTTAACAGCAGCCCAGAACAAAAACCTTCTGGCGTTCTTCCACAGAGACTTAAGCAAAAGCACTGTCGAAGGCAGATCACATGTACCATCTTCCCTATGGGTCTAGTGCAGCCAGGTAGAAATTATGAAAGCAAAACCAGACAGAGAAGCCACCTTCTCTGCAGTGCCTCAAAAAAAAAACCCACCTGAAACCCATCCATTAACTGGAAGAGAACCAAGACCTTAAGTCTCTTAGCAATTATTCACCTGCAAAATCTGCTGAGTCAGGGGTACCAGAGTGCACCTCTGAAGCACTGGGAATAGCTGGAGTTGTAGAACTTTGTGTGCACAGCATTAAGTCTGGGAGAAGTACTGCCCCATGGAGACTGGGCTAACTTCAAGATGAGGAGGACAGGCAAGAAACCTCTGCCTGGATCGAGGAGAGGCACATTAGATACAGGACAGGAATGCACACCTATGATGGAGCAGAAAGACATGTGTGATTGCCCAGTGGCACACTGGGTGGCTGTTAAGCAGATTTTATTTACCTGACAAGTCAACTTTTTAGTCGCCAGTCAAGCTGCAGTTTTGAAGAAATTCTTAGTGGGAAGGTTTTCTGCTGAAGAAGGGTAAAGAGAGCAAATAGGTGCCACAGTCACTTGTCATTGAGTGAAGGGCTCTGGGTGAATTTTGTTTACACTGTTTGGATGCTATGGGGAACTGGCCAAGAGATGATGGGACCCTCTCTGTTTTGAGCAGAAGATTTGTACAGATAACTTCTAGAAGTCACATCCAAGCTAGATTAGAATGCTATGAGCATGTGTGCCGAGGCAGACAGGCATTTTGCCGCAATTCAGAGCTCCAGAAGAGGCATACCACAGCCAGCAGCACAGCACCAAGATGCTCTGGTAGGAGTTATGCCATGCAACTGTAATGGAAGGAGTGAGCAGGTTCTCAGCAGTTCTGGTGGTAACACACCCAGATTTGGAGACCTCAGAACAATCAGTACCCTGAAACACAGGAAGTGCAGGAAACTGGAGCATGTTAGTGCCTGATCCGCTGTCCATGAATGTTACGTATCAGAAACTCTGATACATAACCCAAACCATGGGACAGTGAAAAGAGCTGCAATTCAGTATCTTCTGGGAAATAATTTACTTTGGAACCATGAAAGAAACAGCACAAGGTAAGTCCTGCTGACAGGAAGGAAGTGGCTGGGGGAAAATGAGTAAAATAGCCTTCCAGACAGGACAAAAAGCATTATTTAAGAATTCAAGATAATGCACGCTCTTTCTCAAAACCGAAGATTAATAAAAACAATGTATTTTTTTTGTGAGCTTGAGCTAAGACTAGTACAAATGAGTTAAATAAAATTAATTAGCAAGATGGAAGATGTTGTGAGGGAAACAGGGTAGAAAGGAGCCCTAATTTGATAATTTGTTTGCATTCTAGTAGCTTTCAGGTATAAATAAAGCCTGAAAAAAGGACCAAAGCACTCTTTGCTCTGAAAAGTCTTTTGGAGGCAAAGGGCAGCTAAGTCGAACCTGCAGCTGTAAATAGCTCAGAATACTACAGCATTTCCTTAGACAGCTAAAGGTATCAATTCACACCCCAAATGATATTTAACATTTATATTTATTTCTGTTTGTGATTTTCCCCTTTAAACTATGACTAATTTCTGTAATCAATTTACAAGCCAAAATTCACTGTTTTTATTTAAGACCTAGGTAGCATTTATAGTGAGCTCTGGTAAAAACCAACCAGCAAGCATCCAGCTCTAACCTAATGCAGCAAACTTAAAAAATACACACAGCAAGCCAAACCACTACAGTTTCTGTGCCAAATGGTGGGTGGGGACACCAAGATCTGGGAAGGGTTATTTCCACCCCCCTCCCTTGCATTATTCCCTCAGCTGCAGAAGTCCACTTGAGGCCTGACATTATTGTGAACCAGGTCAAAGCAAAATGCTCTCTCTCAGATACTTCTCAGTGCCCCTCCATGAAGGGTGTACAGTAGAAAACTGCTTAAAATCCTGTTTGACAGTGATGAAGATTTTTTTTTTTCCTTTTTTCCCTGGCACTGTTTATTCTGGATGAGTGCGATGACAGTAGAGAACCTTAAAATACTAAGAAGAGATCTGTCCACTCAGGGATGGCAGAAAACAATTTAGATGTATTTCAGACATGCAGGACAAAGAATGAGGGGAAGAAAATAGAAATTGCCATTTGCAGTCAGAGAAAACAAGATGGGAGAGGAAAAACTCCTGGTGACCCCTCAGGCAAGTCTTTCTTTCTTTATGCCTGTCACTAATCTGTGTGCTACCCAGCCAAGGGAGTTCTGCCTCATGCCAGTGATGCAGCCCCTCACTGCTGCAATGCCCACAAGGGCTGCAGAAACTGTGCTTGCAGATTAACTCCTGGCAGTGCTCTTCCAAAAGAGGCAAAAGGCAGATCAGGAGGGAGTAAAGGTGCAATTCATCACATTGGTAAGGAGTTGATCTGCAGCAAAAAAGAACAATGTCTCCCTGGCCACTGCCCATAGATGTGCTGTGCCACACCCTTGAAGGTTAATGTAGCAATGCACAGCTGTAAAAATTATCAGCTGCTGTAAATTACAATTGTAAAATTACAGTTTACAGCAACATCCAGGTAAGCAGCAAATAAATTCCACACAGAAATAGGATTTCACAGACTGTGACACTGACACACACCCCACTTCTACAGATAAGTGATCTGTTTCTATGACTAGCAAATTAATTGAAACCTTCCAAGGATATAATGCTAAGGCAAGTTTACTGATACTGAATCCTCTACTATTGACCTACTGTACAAGTAGGTCAAAGCCAAAATCTGACTAATATAGAAGCTTGTCAAGGAGTCATTTGAGCTAACACGAAAGCTTATGGAAGTTCTGACTGCCATCTGACAAGCTGTTTAAGCACTCTGCTATAAAGCTCTGGATTGTGGCAATGCCAATGCACTTGAAAAAATCCTATCCCTCCAGGCAAGAAGCTGTATGGAAATGCTTTGTCTTTAAATAGAGCAAGAGCAAGGTATTACCATGCAGGCTGCTAAAATCTCAGATTTCAAGTCTCAATACACCATTCCCCTTTGGTTTGCTTATATAAAACAGAAAAGCAATGTGCATAGCTCAATTAACAATGAGTTCAGCCCTGCAGAACGTATAAATCTTCAGAGAAAGAAGACAGTGGCAATCAATTAACCCCTTCTTAAGATCCTCTACCTAATACCTTCAGAAAAAACTGGTTTACTTCGAGCACACCAGCTGTTCAGAATACAGCACTGAGAATACAGCAAAAAATCTCAACTGACAGTGCCCCAGGGCAAAAAGTAAAACTGTTCTAACATTATCTTAAAATTTTAGGAATGAATCTTTTCCTCTGGAGAGTGTTCCAACATAGGCTCATGTCTTGTTCCCTGATATTGTACTAGCAAGGATATTCCCAAAGCCATCTGAATACTTGTGTGTAGAAAATAAGAGCTCTGGCAAGATTAAAAAATGCCATCCTCTTACCACAGGGGCGGATAAAAGCCACAAGAACAATTTTTCCCCCCTACTCTGTAGCTTGGGCAATGTTTGTGCTGGTATATGCTTGTATGTGTGGGCACATCCTCATGGCTGGGGTGGGAGTGAAAATCTCCTGATGGGCCCTACAGGCCAAAGGAAAATGGGAAACTTCAGAGGAGAGCATTCAACATAGATCTTCCTTCCTCACCTGAAGACAGCACAAAGGGGCAAGCCATGCCCCTTAAGAGGCTGATCATGAAAAGTGGAAATTTGAAATGGAGGCCATTCAGCACAAGACTGATACAAAGGGAAGCCATCCACCCCTGCTGCCTCTGAAATCCTTTAATGCATCCAGTTTATTCTTACTATCAAAAGCCATTTCTAAAGCCCCAGTCTGTTGCTGTTTTACTGAACTATCTTCATATACTTCACTGTTCTATACATTTATATTAGTATTCGAAGTATTCAGTTACAAATTGAACTTACCAGACGGAATATTCTTATCATCAATAATGAGATGGGCAAATGGCTGCTTCTCAGGTTTGTTCCTCTTGTACAGTTCAAGTCCTAATGCCTCCATTGCAGCTAGAGATAAAAGAAATGCATTATCCCAAAAAGGCAATTTTAGTGGAACTAAATTTTTTCTTAATCATAAACCAATACCTACCTTTTTCTGGTCTTGGTGGCGTTCTTCCCATAGCACGCTGGACTTCCTAAAATGAGAAGGAGACATTGCTTTGATGTTTTCTTGTTGGTTTTGTAACAATGTTTAGTTTGCACACTTACAATACTCTGCATGTATCTGGGGACAGTATTCCACCAGTTCAGATGCCTGGGATATGAATCATGTAAATATGATAATACATGTAACAGGCACACACAATCAAATTACTTCTAGTAATTTGGTAATTCTAATAAAGGTGGATAGAAATGACAGCATGTATGCGCCGCATTATTTACTGAAGTAGTGGTGACAGCACATTTAAAACCTTTTCTACCTAGTGTACTTGGAATATTTCTCTAAGTAAAATGGAACAATGATTGATAAGAAGGCATCACATCAAACAGTGGAATGAATTTATGAACTGATTTAACTACTTAAGAGTCTAAAGGCAAAGAAAGAGGCATTTCTATACAGGAACTAGTGTGTAACCACTAACAACTAAGGTTAGCTAAACTTCTGAATTTCATTTGTGGTGAGCTGAATGAAACCTCCACGCCTCACACTTGACCACCAACATGGAAGGCTGTAAGACTTTACAATCAAGGCTTATTCCTAACAAGGTATGCAGGAACTAAAGGATTATCATCCATGCTGGACCAGAGGGACTGGGTCCCAGACTTGGAAAGTATGTAATTCTTCAAAGCTGCAGATAAAATTTAACATGAATGAAAACTATGCTACCCAAACCCAAGAACAGCACAAAATGCAGGCATCAAGCACCACAAAAAGCTTTGCTTCTAATCATTCACACCTGTACTCCTCTTGAGAAAAAGATGCAGCAGATTTCAAAAAATCTAAGCAGCCTGTTCTTGTTACAAGCCTAGACTGAGTCTTAGTATTAAGCCCTATCAGTTCTATCTCCCTTTTCCCCATGACTCTCCATCTGTTTTCTAAAAAAACAGGGGTAGCATATTTGTTATTCTGAATACCTCATACCACGGAGCTGTCAAGAAGAAGTTTAGTAAAAGGAAACATTTTACTGAAGACAGCAAGTCATCTTCTCTTTGAAACCTAAGAGTAGTCCTTTGTTCCGCCTTTATGCCACGCACATTGCTGTTTGCCTGATTCAATCCGTGTATATGAAATATGTTGCAGATTTGGCCAGATCAGCTAAGTCCCACTGTGCTCTCAATCACTGGGGTGTTTCACAATTTGAAATCCTGCTCTGAAAACAACTGAAGTCCTGTTTTTATGTAGTTCTGCAACCGCAGTGTAATATGTAGAGCCTCGGCTGGTGCGTTTATTACTCTCACTTTCCCCTTTCAGTAGGTGTTTAAATGTTAAACCAAAATGAAAAGCCACAGCAGTATGGAAGTTGTAGTATGACTATCAAAGCATAATACTTCAGCTGAGATATGCTGATTTCATAGATAAGAGTCATGAAGATGCTTTTTGCTGTAGAGACAAGAAGAAAGCAGAAGAATCACAACTTCAAAAGCAGCAAAACTTGCATCTGCTTCCCGCATTCACATGCACTTTGCTTCTCTGATCTTCCTACTTCAATGTCAGTTCTAGGAGCATGAAAACGAAGTTCACTTCCAGGAGCTGCATGTCAGTATCAGTCACTAGCCACAACTGAGTAGGAAACAGCAGGATGACAAGAGAATGCAAGTACTAGGTACTATGAAAAATGGCAAAATCCGCTGAAGAGAATAGGATGTAAGCAAGAAGAGGCTGGGAGATGGGCCACACTCTCAGAGATCATTGCAGCACACCTATCCCAACCCTTCTTCCCTTGAAGGGGACACATGTTTGTTTTCTTACCTTCTTAGTGGAAACTTCTCAGATGTGGAGTTTGTTTTAATATCCTTTCCTTTAGGAGGACGTGATAATATCCTTGCCTGAAAAGCCTACTGATCAGATCCCAAAAGAACCATGTACATTTTAATCTCTTACTACCTAGGTTTTGTACTAAAAAAAAAAAATCCTGTGGTTGATAACTGCTCAGCCCTTGAAAGCCCTAAAATTGTCGACTGCTATTCTAATTTTAACTTATATTTTTCCTAGGAGCATTCAGTTCTGCTTCTGCACATTTATAAAGATGCTAGAGTTGAAGCAGCTGAATACCTCACCTTCTGAGACCCAGCAGCCTGGCTCAGCTCATCTTCCACACAGAGTGGCTCTGGTCCTCATGAAATCAGTCTGAGCTGCTCTCCTAACTGGTGGTGGTGCTGTTCATCTGCAGCTTCACCACTCAGTAAGGACAGCTACCAAGGAACACTTGGGTCCACAACTCTCCTTGCCTGGTGTTCATGGTTAGCTCAACTGGTTAGATCATGGCACTAATAAAACCAGGGCTGGGGGTTTAAGTGAATTGCTTGTTGACTCTTCTGTGAGTTTATCACTGGATCAGAAGTGGCTAGACTGTGGCCAGAAAACAAAATCTCCAGCAGTTCTCTGAGCACTGGACTAGTGTCAAGTTCTTCACTTGATTCTGACCAGCCTCATGAAAGTTTTATATTTTTTCTATTCCAAAATGAAGATGAAACACATTAACTAGTCCCTAGGAAACAGATATGGAGTTGTAGGTTTCCTCCTAAAGAATAAGCAGTTAAATGCTTACTGATTTTTTTTTTCTTAACTTGATGTTCATACAGTTCCAAGGTGCTGATACACAACTTACCTTAGAAAAGCCCTTAACCATGTATTTGCTTCTGACCCTGAAGGACATTTTTCAGTGGATGTTTGAAGGTAGTCTCTTAATGAGATTATAAAATCCCCTGGTATTCTTACTGCAAGGAATTAAGAGCTGTGATTTCTCAAATCACCAAAGTATCAACTGCGGTTTTTTTGCTCCTGAATGTTTTCAGGTGTCTCATACTTACTCACAATGTAGAAGCTCATTAAGGAGGCAGAAGTAGCTCAACAGAACCCGTGACTAAGACACTGCTGTAATGGCATGAAAACTGCTGACAAAACATTACCAGCAACTTCTCTTAAGACTGCCATCCACAGAACTGTGTGTGATACCAGGCTCTTCAGTTATTTTTAGCATAACTGTACACAAAAATCACCCCACTCTTAATCTTATGACAAGCTGCACTTGTACACCTTTGTCATTTGCTCCCTGCCCACCAAGCCAACTCTGCTGGCCTGCTTCCCACATTCCAACCTCCCCCATACACTCGCTGTTTAAACAACAGACAAGGATCTAGTCACAAAAATGAAAAACATATCTTCCCTTCATCCAAAAAAAAAAAATTAAGAGGCCACTAAGAGGCTCCAAAACTTTCTCATTTTAAAGCTAAAAATAATGTTTTAATGATTTGAATGCCTGAGAAGTTGGGAGGCGCTCTCTACCTCATCCACAGCAGGTTGCAAAAATAACTGTTGCTCTTGAAGTAAATGTCCAATGCTGAGGATGCAGAGACAAGACTACTCCTGAAGATATGACATCGGTGAAAGGTTTTTAGTCTCCTTTAGCTCTCATCTACTGTCTCATCTCAGTATCTACTTTGAGCAGCTCTAAGCAGCCTTTTAAGACCAATGAACCCCTCAATAGTCACTTATAGCTTCAGATGTGGTCTTAAAGCTTCTTTATGCACTTGATTATTTTATTACCAAGTGCTTTAAATACAGCTGATATCAGGAAGAAGTATTTGATTCTCTTGCCGGAAATTCAGCAATTTGAAGCAGGAAGGAAGTGAAATAGAAAGTACATGAACCTATATTCATCAGACTGTAGTTTAGAGACCAGCAATAAAACCTTTCTCCAAATGAGTAGTCTACTGCTGGCAGAGAAAAGAAGGCACGTAAGATTGTAGGATGGAAACCTACAAAAATTGTAGGTGAAATTTCAACAACTTGCAGCAATCACTTGTGAAGCCTTTACTTGGTCCATAACTATGTGCTCTTTAAATGTCTGCTAAGTATATAGATCTCTTTATAAATGCTGCCCTGGAGGTCTAGCAAAGCACTCTGCTGCCATGTGGGAAAATAGCTTACGCTTGAACTCCACAAGCAGCTAGAAGCTGGGAGCATTGCCAAGCAAAGTTACTTATGGATTGACCCAAGATATGTTTGTAGTCCTTTCTACTTCAGGCTCATAACAGACTTCATAAGGACTGTGGTTAGAGCATCTGGACTGCCAAAAGCTTTTTAGGGTTACATGAAAAAAAATTAAGCAAACAGACTGGCTAGGAAAGTATATTATTTGCCTGCTTGAAAACTTATATGCAATATTGAAAATATGCTCTCTACTTAGTAAGCTGCTCCTTAAGCAGAATTTTTATTGTGGAATATGTTAAGGAATCAATCATTAGATTCTGATTAAAAGAAAAAAAACTCTTTCTTCCAGGAGACAAGTATTTCTAGACTGGACCTTGCAGCCCTACTACACTGGTTTTCATAAGAGCACTTTCATTTTCAACATCAATCCCTGCTTTACATTTAAGTACTCTGTCTACAGGTGTGCAAAGAAAACAGATGAGATCTGGCGCAGGAAGCTAGAAGCTGTAACCAGACCTGAGCAAAAGAAATTTGTCTATTTTCATTTCCTTAACAGCTCGAATTGCAAAAGACAATATATTGAAAAATCAAAAAACAGACGGTATCTTGAAGTGTTCCATTTCAGTCACTTAGCATGCTGACAGTTCAAATAAGGAAACTGGTTCTTAAAACACACGTAAGTTAGATTATTTAGATTCTCCTTAAGGAAAGTGAAGGAAGCACAGACAACAGGAAACCTCCTTTATGTCACATTAGCTGGATCCACACACAGGAGTATCACAACTGCAAGTTACAGCTGCATCTCTGCTCTTCATTGTTGAAGGGTGACTGAAAGGCACAATTTACAGATGATGATAAAGTATAATTCTGCCTTGACACCGTTACTTTCACTTCCCTGATGTACCGAACAGATGTAGAAAGCCTCAGATCACCACTTTCCTATCTATTTTTTTCTCTGTCATTGATACAAGATGACAAAGCACCCAGACCACTGGTGCAGCTGCTTAATAAACTCCATTGCATTCAAAGGAAATTCAGAGTCTAATTACTTTGGCAAGGGAAATTTTATTGTTCTCAAACTAATGGTCATCAGCCAAAAAAGTTATCCCTGCTCACTACTTATTGTGGCCATGGACATTGCAGCATTTAACCTCCATCCAGACTGGCAGGATATAAAGCCTCAGCTAAAGCCAGCGACTTTGCTGAGTAACCAGCAGCAAATGACCAGAACACAGGGCTCCCCATTGACTTACTGTAACAGGCTCCTTACTCTGCCATGAGTGAATGAGCAGCCCAGCACACAGCACATACGTAGCTGCAGCCTGTGAGAGGCTCTATAAAATGCAGGAGGAAAGAACTAATCCTACAGACATAACTCTTTGTTTCCCCCTTAAGCTCTTGAAGGAGGTGGCTAGAAAAAGGGACGAGACATGGACTCCTGTCTGTATTTTGTTCACAAAAAGATCTGTCACTCAGAGTTCTCTGTTAAAAGCAAATATCACATTAACACAATTTAAATGCTGTAAGTTTAACCCAAGTGCAGTTCATGCTAAAGCATATGTGAGTTCAGCTCAAACCTAATGTAGTACCCTTAATGAAAAACTGCCAGTCCTAAGCAGATGTGAGGCAGTAAAGTTGCAATGGGCCTGATAAGCCAGGAAAACTAAATACCATAGCAGACATCCATCTGTTTCACAGCCCATAATTAGCACTAAACACTATCATGAACACAAAAAGAGATCAAAGGCAGCAACAGCAGTAAAAGGGGATTGTGGCATATTTCCAACTTGCCTAGGCTTCTTCATGATGGCTGACTTCTTTTGTCATTTGTGTTTGGGAACAAGCTGTCATTCTTGGTTCCTGGGCAAAGACCACCCAGTTATCATGCTATGGCAAAGTAGCTCTTCTGCCAGTGTGAGAATGGTCTGCACAGAACTGGCAAAGTGAGCAAAACCAAAGCAGGAATTGACCCTCATTTCTGATTCCAGGCAGAGTAAGAAACAAGAGCAAATGAGAGCAAATGCCATCTCCTTTTCCTTCAGGCAAGATTTTGTTTGCTGGTGATCTTGACTTAAGAGAATCTTGTCTGAAAGATTCTTTGAAAAAAATGTGGAACTGACACTTGTTATGAGCATTCAAAGTGCTGGAAAAGTTCTATAAATATTAGCATAAATTACTACCATTCAGGCACATCCAAATGTCAGAATGGCTAATTATCTAACTTCAATTAGTTTTCTTAGCATAACTTCAAGTCTTCCTTTCTTAAAAAAATAAAATAAATAAAATGTGCTTGAATACAGAATTGGTTAGCCACTACCAGATTCAGCAGCAAATATAATACAATCCTGGATAAAACTTCATGTCAAACACCAGGAAATAATTTATAGAACTTACCTCTGAGTACAGATTTTGGAAAAATTGTTTTAATTCCAACAGGACCACTGGTGGTGGTGCTGTTCATCTGCAGGACATTTATGAAATAAAGAAACACATTGTGCCACTTACCCTCTGCACAGCCCTTTGGAGAGCCTGTTTCACACTTCTACAGGATTCTGGCATTAACTTCGCTTCTTGACTTTCAAAGGAGGCATCATGCAAATCTGCACTTTCTTGGTGTCCAAAAAGGGTTCTGACACAGTGTGCATGTTCTTTTGAAATTCTAGTAGGGTCCATCTGAAACAAAAATATGAGCACAACCACAGTTCTAAGTGTTAGAGACACTTTTCAACCATCTAAAAGTTTGGCCACTGGCTAAGTTTATTATCTAAATTCTCATTATAAACAGTGTAGAGAGAAAAAGTTCCCAGCATCAGGGTTTATTTCATCCAACAGTCATGTGAGATAAGAGAATTAATTATCTTCTGGTGCTGTCTATTTAATTAGCTTAGACTAGATATGTGACTTTCAAAAGTTAAAGATAAACCCCATTCTTATGGTAAAGTAAATAATTTTGAATTCCGTATTTCAACCCCTCAGGGCAATATCAAAGTTATTCTAGCAGGAAACATACACAGTTATCCTCTCTCAAAAGCTATTGTTTGTAAGATGACACATGAATGTCAAGTAGAGAAACTTGGGCAAAGTATGTATGTGTGTGTACAGCACATAATTTTCAAGAGGAGAAACAGGAGTTATCTCTGAAACCATTTTATCACTGAAATTATATCACTGAAGCTGTCAGTCAGATATTACTGAAACTGTTTTATGGATGTACTCATTGTGGATAGAGTTTATTTTCTTTACAGTGGCTGGTATGGGGCTGTGTTTTGGATTTGTGACCAAAACAGTGTTGATAACACGAGAGATGTTTTTGTTACAGCTGAGCAGGACTGACACTGAGCCAGGACCTTTTCTGCTTCTCACCCCACCAGAGAGAGGGCTGGGGGTGCACAAGGGGCTGGGAGGGAGCACAGCCTGGACAGCTGACCAGAACTGGCCAAAGGGATATCCCAGACCACATGGCATCATGCTCAGTATATAAAGTTGGGGGAAGAAGGAGGAAAGGGGAGACACTTGGAATGATGCCATTTGTCTTCCCAAGTCACTTATGTGTGGTGGAGCCCTGCTGTCCTAGGGATGGCTGAACACATGCCTTCATATTCTGCTTCATTTTGTGTGCAGCTTTTCCTTTACCTTTTAAGCTTTCTTTATCTCGACCCACGAGTTCTCACTTTTCCAATTCTCCCCGTAATCCCATCAGGGAGGGAGCAGCTGTCTGAGACTCAGTTGCCAGCTGGGATTAAGACATGACAGTGGCAGGAGATACTGCTGTGTGAAACAGTCACCAAGACAGCAAAAGTCAAAGACCAAAAGATGACCAAAATGCACCACAGGACACCTCTGCATCATTAGACAAGGAATGGTAAATTTAGAGTATCTGCAAGACATTTTTAGCAATCAGTCTTTGTGACTGAATCAATATTTTTAAATCCTGCATTCTATCTATTACTTAGATAAATTGGAAGATAATCCAAGGATTAGGATTGTACCTTGACAGAATTTTATTGCACAAAACTATTTAAATCATTTTACCCATTTTTTTTCCACAAACTCCAAATCCTTTACACTGAAGAGATTAACAACTATCTTTCAGAGATGGCCTAGGGCTCTCAGAAATAGTTCGCAACTCACATTTATTCTGCTTTTACTTCAAGCTTAAAGAAACGTTTGTGCACTCAAACTCTTCTTTAGGTTCTCCAACTGTATCAACTGGCCTATTAAAGAACATTTACTTCTATCTCTCTTTAGCTGGAAGAAATACTTTTACCTGGGAATTACAAAAGGCTATTTGTAATTGCAATGCAGGAATATCAAGACGTTGTGGACAGTGCCTAGTGTTCAGTTTCCCTTAACACAGAGCTGAACAAAACACCAAATCAAAAGGAAGCTTTTCACAATACAAAACAGCCAAAGGGAATCAAATATATCATTTGTTCACAGGAACATAAATTCAACCCCTTAATCCCTCAAAAAATAAATTACTTAATTTAAAAGCATAAAGTTTGGATTAGAGAGCTGAACTAAAGTCTACATCACCCAGGCAGCCACCCAATAGCAACACACAGCAGAGAGACATTTGTTGCACAGACAGCAGCACTGAATGCTGCCTCCTCCATCACCACCCTTCTGCTCAAGTCTCCAGATGGAAAGTTCTTTGCCCAATTCATTCAGACCAATGTCAGATCCTGTAGTCTGGTCTATCTGTCTCAAGTCATCCCTGCAGATCCAGAATGAAACAGGTCACAGAAGGTTCACCCAAAGATCATAAGATGCCACAGCTTTGAGCAGAGGGGTAGTGATGAGTTACAGAATGGCTTGGAGGCAGCAACATCTTCCTGACACAGCTGAACCCCAAACAAAATCTGTGTATAGTCACTGCAGCTCAATGAATTAAGTCCTAAAAACCAACATTAATGCCTTCTAAAGTCAGCTAGTGCAGTGCAGCCTCATGAACTCCATAAGGAGATCTAAACCAACATTTCTCTGCTCTTCCCCCCTGCACCACAGAACTTAATTCCTGGATTTCAGTCCCCTCTTCTAAATCAGTAACAAAGGAGGAATTTTTTATGTCCTAATTTCCTTTAAGATTTAAGATTAGTTCCCCAAAATCAAGTCATCCCAGGTATCAGGCAAGCATGAGAGTTGGTATAGGGATAGGCATAAGAATGAAATAGCAGGAAGGCAACACTAGCTTTAACTGACTGTAAAAACTGCACTCATAAAGCATCTCTCACACTATGTTCCATTTGTATTCAGAACTCAGAAAATCAACTGTAAAGTAAAATAATAGTAAAAATAATTAAAAATTAAAAAAAAAAAAAAGCAGAAAATGTTTCCCAACAGCTGCTAAAAGGCAGTTAATGCAGAAGGACTTGGGTTGGAAGGTACCTTTGGACATCTCTAGTCCAGTCCCCTGCTTGAAGCAGGGCCAACTTTTAACTTAGGTCAGGTAAGCCAAGGCCTTCTAGACAACCTTTGGGGAATGTCCATCAATGATGACTTTCAGCTTCTCTGGGCAAACTGTCCTAAAACTTCACTACTTCTAGTGTGTAAAAAAACCCTTGGGTTTTATATCCAGCTACAGCTCCCCTTGCTGCAATTTATGACTGTGCCTCTTGCTTTTGCTGTGCCCTTCTGAAGAGCCTGACTGTCTTTAGGTAGCTAAAAAACAGTAATTAGTTTCCTTCACCCTAGTCTGTTCTTTGTCAAAGAATCCAGTTCTCCATTCATTTATACATTATGGTTCCTACCTGTCACAGTGGTTTTCTGCTGGACACCTTCCAGTTTGTTGATACACTTCTGGTACTGAGGGACCCAAACATATGACCCATTATTTCAAATGTAACCTCTCATGCTGGGAACAGTAGAGACCTGACAGAACTGATGTCTCCAACAAGATCTGGATATCCGAGTCTTCTCCCCTCTATACAGATCACAGGATAGAACAGAGAAAGCTACAGCAAATAACTGCCAATAAATACTAATTTTTATCCCAGTTTTATCCCAGTTTTGGATTTACTAAAACACATCTTCTGAATAACAGGCAAGAAAACCAGGTTTTACAGCACAAAGATCATGAAATTTGTGAAGGCCTGAGTGTCCAGCATGACAAATCACTGCTATCAGCAATCATTCAAATGTGTCACACACTACTGTATCACAGCAGTAACAGCAGATTGCACAGAATCACTTGCTCAGATTTGAGTTTATCTGCTCAAGGTTTAAGAAAACCAGCATCTCTGCACCTACAAGTAAAAGGTTCAAGGCTTAATGGAAACACTGCAGCTGATGGTTTCAGCAACTTGGAGCTGTGCAGCCCACCCCGATAAAAACTGCAAGACTCCAGATAAGATAAGAGGAAACTGATTTTGGGACTAGCTAACCTACCCGTTGCCCTCACCTTTTTCAAAGAATACTTTCAAGAATAGTCTTCACCACATTTAACTATGAAAATCAGCTGACTTGCCTGAAAAGGCATTCTCAGAAATCCCACACCTTATGTCTTTACAAAGAACGCACACCAAACTGCCATGGCTGTAAACAAGCACTTCCAAGCACTGAGATCAAAACTGGGGGGAAGTAGTGATGCACAGAAAAACTTCCAAGGACATGTTTTGAGGAGAACTTCTAAAGAACAAGAAAAGTATGATGAAATACCAGAAGCAGCTTGTTAACTTGCAGGGCAGGGCACCTTCAGCAAAGTCCTAAAGATTTAATATCTGGAAGAAACATCAAGATGCAAACAAAAATAAAGGAGAAAACTTTATAAAGTGTGAAGTCACCTAAATATCCTAGAGGAATTTAATTAAAGATAGGAGTGTCTAGCTTATTTTTTAATATCTGTTTAGCCTGACCTTGAAATCAGATCAGACTGCTCAGTGTCCCCTGGTTTTCAGTATCTCTCATCATTCTAGCTAAATTTCTGGACTCTATTCACCCAATTCAGGGCAGCCAAAATGAACTCCAACATCATGGGTGAGACTAAATGAACTTACAGCCTTAAGAAACAAGTTTCTGATGTAAAAAGATTCATTTTGGTTTTAAAAGATAAAATATATTCTGCCCACCTTTACTATTACATTTTGCATCAATTATGCACTGTTACAATATTGCACTAAATACTTATTCATTCAATAAGTGTTTAACATCTATACTGGTACTTGTTTTCAAACTTAAACCACTTTCCAGACTATCAAATATCACTTTGCTCTCCATGACCTTTCTTAAGCACCAAGAAGGGGTTCTTCCAGCTTCTGGGAGATGTTAATGAGCCCCAGCAAGCTGTTTTTTCTGTTCACCACAATGCTCACAAAACTTCATCTTTTTTGAAAGGCAATAGCTTGAAAACACACCACAAAGTCAGAATTCCAAATAAGCATGAAATGACAATAAAAACTGGGCTTCCAGGTCACTATTTATCCATGTATTAACTTTTCCATCTGGTAGAAATACTTAAATTTTGTACAGACTGTTTTTTTTTAATGGGAAAAATGCACACTCTTAGAGGTCTAGCTTAAACTGTGGGCATTAGACACCCAGACACACATTTGAGCACTTTCAATTTGCTTCACTGCCCTCCAGCTCAGTCAGTGTTAGACCAGATTCCTCCTCTTTTGAGATTTAAGTGCACTAAGGATAATGGGCCAGAAAGAAAAGCTTTAGGAGACTATACCTCAGCATTTATCAGTCAAAGTTAAAGAAAATACTTCTCTCACCTTGTGCTGTGCATGAGTCCCTATAGAGGGATGACCTCCAGCTGCTCTGAGTCTCTTAACTAAATTTGCATGTTATTTTTACAGACAATGAGAAAATATTCCCCAAAGCATAGGCAAAATGAATGCTTAAGAACAATACATTTTCTTATTGTTTCATTTCTTGGATTCAGTACACTGCACAGGATGGACCAAAAAGCAAAGATAAAACATGCTAATGTGTTTACATTTCAGTTCACTATTATGAGAATACTGGTAAAATTCAAACTTGTTGCTTTTTTTTATTTTTTTTCTTTTTCGACACACCAGTTTATTGTCTCACTTGCATGGCACTGCATTATTTCTTAGCCACAAACATGTGTTTACCCATGAAAACCTAGTGTCAGTCTTAGTTATGTGTCTTGTGAAATTCCAAATGCTCGAGCCACAAAATAAACAAAATTAAGGAAAAACCAAAACCTCAACTATTGTCTCAGCTTATACTGTGTCATGATCCTGCCCAAATGATTTTATGCGAATACAGACAAAATGTGAGTGGAAAAACTGAGTCAGAGTTTACTCAGACTCTTAGATAAGGTTTTAAAGAGCTTCTAAGATATATAATTTCTTAATATCAGCCTATACAGTCAAATCTTTCTAATTCACATTTGCTTAATTTACCAAGCAAACAATTCAAATCTTTTCATGCACAGCTTCTACTACTAGTGCTTCATTATTTTAACATTTATTAAAAATAATTAAGTTCTGTTATTAAAGTACAAATTTAGATAGCTGAAATATACACCAAAAAGGCCAAATTGAAGTAGCTTAATAAAATCAAACTTCACAGAAATCTTTTTTTTTAAAAAAAGAGGTCTGATCATGTCCCATTTAAATAAAATAGATCTCTGAGAATGTGAAATAAGAATTAACTGCTGCAGGACCTACTATGTTTTTCCATCTATCTTATTTCACAATTACAAGTGGTGAACAAATATGAATTATCATATCCTCTTATAGTGAATTATGTATTTAGTTCAAGAGTACACTTATTATTCTATTTTCCATTGATTACATTCCCTCCATTAAATTTTTTTAGGCAATGACTTCAGTCAAGCCTACACTGAGTTATATCACCTCCTCTAGATGTCTTGGAAATTCAAATTTACAAAATACTCCATTCAATAGTACTACTCCAAATCTAGAGGAACAAGAAAATAGCAAGAGAATTAAGCTGTCAAACGCAGAATTGCACCTGAACCATGCCATTTTTTAAATCAAGAAAGTGGAAGAAAAATAGCCATTATGGTTCCTTTTTACCCTTTGTTAGGCACACGTGAAACCCTGACATGTACCTATCAGAAAGGGTCTTTACAATGGGGATATACTTTGATTAATTGTTTTGATTGCAACAGCTCTTGAGCCCCCTAATGAATGTATAGCTGCACATCTCTGAGCTATGTTTTGACAAGAATGTCTTTTCAGGTCCATGAACATCTGGAGTGAAAAACATTCCCCTGTCACAAGTTGAAGCAGGCATTCATTTATTTCACTGTCAAGCAAACAAGTAGCTTTAAGCTACTTTACAGTGAGTCCCAAAAAATTAGATGTCACTCTTCTGAAATATACAAGTTATTATTAACTAACTGCTGTATTACCGTTACGTTTTATTTTTAGATAAATGGAAAACACAAAGCCATTGTCAGTAAGAAAATACGAAATAGTGCATAATAAATTATCAGCAGTGCTACTGTATATTTGACAGTCATTCATCTAAGTGGGTATACACTTCTGCAACCCCTGTTTTCAGAGTGCACTTCGTTAAGAAATCCAGCCTGCTACCTCAAGATCAAGTGCCTCTACCTAGAAAGTAAACCAAAAGAAACAAGTTTCCAGCCTCTGACGACTTCAAATGAAAAGTACACACAACAGAAGTACCACTTCCATGACGGCAGTCAGAGCCACATTAACAGAACTAACTAGCATCCGACAATAAAGCCAAGCAGAAATCTAACACCTAGCCCTGAGAACCAACTGGCTGGCAGCTCCCCACTTCCTCCGAGAGGGCTCAGTCTTGCCGGGTAAGAGGTGCAGCAGCGAGGGAATCCAGGCAGCCGAGCCATTTCCAAGAAGCAGGCTCCTCTTCTCTCCGAAAGCCCAACCGCCCATCGCCTTATCTGCCCCCACAGCGACACCTCCCCGCACGCACCGCTGCCTCTTCCGAGACATCCCGGCACACTTGAGGCCTGGCAGGTGAGGGGCGGCTCTCTCCCAGAAATTCCCCAGAATCCCAAAAAAGCCTCCCGAGCTGCGGCAGGCGCCTCTGGCCGATGCCCACGAGCACACAGACCCCGCTCCTCGGCAGTACCCCTGCGCAGCCTGAGTGACAAACCATCAGGAATGGTGTTGCATGATGTCCCTTTTTGGTCCTTAAAGCCATTTTCTCCTGCTAGTGAAACATTCATGGCAGCCAAAGACCTCAGCCATGTCACAGAATCACAGATTATACGGAGTTGGAAGAGACCCTCAAGGATCATCGAGTCTAACCCGCACAGCACCATCTCAAAGAATCACACCATTTGCTTGAGAACGTTGTCCAAACATTTCTGGAACTCTGTCATTCTTGGTGCTGTGACCACTTCCCACCATCCTCTGGGTGAGGAACCTTATTCTGATAGCTAATGCCAAACTTCTCCCCAGTAGAAAACTGAAAGCTGATCATCAAAAACCAAAGCCCTGCAAGACTTCAGGTGAAGGATCACGACTAACCTGCTTCCCAAGTCAGGAGGCCCCTCCCGTCCAACCTCTCGGCGAAGCCCTGTATCCCGAAACGCGCCCGATGCCCGGAGCGCTACCTGGAGCGACTCCGGTGATGAGGGGACAGCACAAGCTGGGCAGGGCACTGGGAGCCCATTGGCCCCTCTCAGAACTGGATCGACTTCGGAGACAGATAAGTGTGTTCTAAAACTTTTTGTTTCGTTTCCTTTTCTTTAATAAATCGCTTCGATCGCACCTACACGAGGGCCTCCCCATCTTCTGCAGGGTGCGAGGCGGCCGCGCTCGCCACAATGGGAAGCGCCCGCGCCAGTCCCCGCTTACCTGAGCTCGGAAGTAGAGGAAGAGGGCGACGCTGCAGACCACCTGCCCCAGCCCCAGGAGGACGAGGGCGACGAGGAGGGAGCGAGATGCTGGCGGCGGGGGCGGCGGGGGCGGCGGCGGCGCCGGGGCGCTCTCGTGGGCGGCGCCGCTGCCCAGCTCCTCGGAGCCGCGCAAGTACTTGGTGTAGTCTCGGCTGGCGCGACGCATCGCAGCTCCGCTCCGCTCCGACGGCTCCAGCGAGCTGCCCAGCGCCGGCAAACAACCTCGCTGCCCCGGCCGGGCACCTCTTATAAACGGGGCGGCCAATCAGCCCCGGGCGGCGCGCCCCTGCCGCCCTCCTCCTCCTCCCTCCCGCCCGCCGCCGCCGCCGCACACATCACCGCCGCCCCCTCCTCGCCTCGCCTCCCCGAGCACAGACCGGCCCCCGCCGGCCCGGCCCGGGCCCGCCCCTGCCCCCGGTGCCCCGGCCCCCGCCGCCGGGCAGGTCGCCCGGGGATGGCGGTCGGCTCTGCTCCGCCCCGCGCAGCGGAGCCCCGAGCCGCCGGGGACAGCCCTGCCCCCGCCGCCTCCTGCCCCCTCCTCACCCTTACCCCGCTCAGGTTTGAGCTCCACCCAGGCGGCCCCGTCAGCCGAGGCTTCCCTGAGCCTCTGGTTGGGTCTGGAGGGTCCCTTTCCCCAGATTGCCGGTCTCTGAAGTCAGCGTGCACCTCGGGTGCGCATCTCCTGCGCCTTTGGTGGGTCCAAGCCCTCAGGGGACCAAGGACCTGTCAACCCCTCCCTGTCTCACTCGCTCCTCACTCAAGCCAGGCCAAAATGAGCACAAGTGCTGTAGATTCACTGTCCAAAGAAGCAATGCAGCTCACAATCTTGTTAGAGGAATGGGTTAAAGACATGGCAGAGGTGTGCTAGCACCCGGCTGCCAGTGAAACCAGCTCAGAGCCACCTCATCTCCCATATGCAGCCAGCCTGTTACAGACATATTTCTGAACCCTTGGTTAGGAACATCTTCTGGTATTCTACATGTCTCAGCTTACATTCAATACCAAAACCTCTTCTTCATAAAGCCATGCTACAGTTTGTAGGCATTTTCTTTCTCATGGTCATCTTGGGGTCCTGTTTAGGCCAGATATAAAAGTGAGTTGAAGTTCAGCTCAGGCTTTGTGGAACATGTGAGAATGACACAGGTCCATCTTGCAGGTCATCTTGTCTGTAGAAAAAAAGCCTGTATTTCAACTCAAATACATGACACAATATCCTGTTTAGGTCTCTCTAATCTAAGAAACTGAGAAGATTTTACCTTCCTGAGAGGCTGATGGAACCAGACATAATTATAAGCTCCAACAAAGTAAAGGAAACTGGATCTCATCAAAACACATGCAACAAATCGCTATCAAAAGAAACTGAAGCACTGAACCCAAATAGTGCAATGGCAATTCCTTCACCAATGGGAGCATTGTGGTCTGTAGTCCAATTGGAGGAAGTGTTCCTGTAACTGTGTCTCGACTTTTCTAGGAAAAAAAAAAAAAAAAGACAAAATAGCTACCATCACCTGTAAAATAACCATGTAAATAATCTCACATTAGAGTGAGCTGCACCCTCCTAAATCAATTTCACATTGGTCTACAAAAACAATTCTTTCAGAAAGGATTTTTAAGAGGTACAAATGGGTTTTTTTAAGGGTCTGCACGGTTTTTAAAATCCAGTCAACAATTAGATATTAAACAATTGATAAAGGAGAAGTTAGGATAGTATCAGCAGTGCTAGCACATGATTTTTATACTTTCCTGTGAGAAGGAACTCAAGAAAGTACTCTGCTTTTTTCACCCTAGGGTTCAAATGTTTCTTCCTAATGAAGATGGAAAAAAATTTATGTCAGCCCTTGCCACCTTAAGGTGCTCTTCTAGATTCTTGCACAAGGAATGGGAAGGAGACTTCCAATGAAGAGCTATGAGGATCTGCAGACACCATCTTTAAATACTTTGTCACATATGGAAACAACTTTCTCCAGACAAACATGCTTCCTCCAGGATGGCTGCTTCATTAACTTCTTTACTGGCACCATCTTTAGTATTGCCATCGTATGCTACACCAGGGAACCATTACTGCTGACCCTATGCCTAGGTGTCTTATATGCGCCAATCTCTTGACATTGAATAATCAAGACCATCTGGTTCATGTTCATCCTCAACCATTTCACCCTCACAAAATCTCAGATGCAACTACAAGCACCCAGGTGTTTGTATCCAAGCACCAGGACATCAGGCTCATCAAGAGTCACCCTGCGTAAAACACGAACCTTCCCACCAAACCAACACAGGTTTCTAGGGTATGCTAGGGGTACGTAAATGACATCTGTACTGAAAACTTAGATTCCCTCATTGATTTCTACCACAAATTCAGCAACCAGAATTGCCCATCAAACTCCTTGGAAAACTTACATCAGCATCAACTTTCTAGACACCAAGGTCAACATAAAAAATAGCAACCGTCAAAATACCATATGCAGAAAATCCACAGACCAACACACCTCCTTCCACAAACCATCAGCTGTCCAAAACACACTAGAAAAACTGATATAGCCCACAGACATCACCTCATTTGCTCTGAGGAAAGCACTCATGACACACCCTCAGAAAGCTACAGATGATGCTCATCCAACACTGACACTCCACTAGGATCGCATATTTGAAGAAGCCACCTAAACCTTTCCCAAACTTACTGCAATACAGAGAGGAAATCCCCTGCTGGGTATCATATACCACAATATGCAAGAAATGTATACTGGAAAATGTTGATGAGTTGTAGCTTATATTGGAAGGAAATCATACCTTGAAATTATTTTTCCTAGAAACACCCATCCTCCCCTTCAAACCACACTCACTATCATTAGCTCCATCACTGAAAGCAAGCTTCAGCAGACCAGTGTATGCTGGCTACAGCCAGATAGCTCAGGAAAATCATACCCAAATATTGCCACAGCCCTCATGATAAACACCTGCTCCAGCAGAACCATCAAAATATACAGATCCTACACATGAGCATTCTGAAATGCCATAGGCAGCACGGAAGGCATTCGCTGCTCTAAAGGAGCTCTGTGGGTGAAACCAAACATCCACCACAAAGCAGCTAATTAGGAAAGAACAGCGACACCCAGTTACCATTTGGAAAATTATATTCCCAAAGCAGCTACTCCGTCTCTAACCATGCAGTCCTGACACTGCAAGACCAAAGATGGGCCAGAGAACCAAAACATGCAACTCTATCAAATACTGGATTTTATATCAGATTAATTTGACAAACAGAGTTTCCCCTATTTCTTAAGTCTTGCTGATCTTTAGTTTTTTTGTAATTTTTTGGTTACTGTTTGCTCTGACCACTCCGCTTCTGTCACCACTTACACTCTTAATAGGGTCAGGCTCACCTTCTGCTCCCAAAATAGAAAATACTTTTCTCTCAAATGTCCAACTGATCAAGATAATCAAATGGAATTGAAAGCAACAAGCTACAATTCTCTATACTTTGGACTCAAAGAGTAGTTCATCTGCATGAAAGTTAATCTGCTTTATCTAATATCTCATTTACACAATTGTCTCTGTGGGCCTACTAAAAGTTTAAATAAAATAATATAATAATAAAATAATATATTATTATTATTATTATTATTAATATAATAATTTTTATATAATAAAGTTTAAATAAAAGCTTTCTTCTTAAAATATGTGACACTGTTTAGGTTGTGGGAGGACTAATGACACACACAAAAGTTCCCATAAAGTCCTGGCTCTGCCATGTGAACTCTTGGCCCCTGAGCAGAACACAACTCTTTCCGATTGTCTACAAAATACTTGTGTTGCAAGAGATGATCACAAATATAGTACCTGTTGTGATAAGACTGCATAGCTGCTAGGATTTTTTTTCATCATTTTGCTTTGCAGCAAAACAGGAAACCGTGTTTACATAAAAAGGCTGCGTTGAAAGTAGTTCTCATTGCAAGGCTGATTCTCATTGCAAAGTTGAAAGTCTTGAAAAATCTGAAAATGTCAAAGAGCAACAAGCCTGCAGGTCAAAGTAAAATATAAGGGGGGAAAAATTTAGGCTTTTTAATTTTAGTTTGTTCTCTTACAAAACACAGAGAATCACAAAAAGTTCTTGTCCTGACCTCTGCTTCAAAGAATACAGTGTTTTTTACCTCAAGAGAGATTATGCAGCTGAAATATTCCATTTTGGTAAAACAGTTAAACAAGTATTATATTCTTACACCAAAAAGATTTCTTTCCTGTGGACGTATGTTTGTAACTAAAGTTTCTGGTATTACAATTGGTTGGAATATTGACAGTGAAATTATTTCATCAGCCAAAGGTTGTTTTTGACCTGACTCAAATGTTTAATTGGGTTGTATCAATGTTTTGGACAGTAAGGGTTCCAAGGAACAGCACAGACTCCTTAGGGGATATAAAGAGAATCCTGTACTGAAACTCTGATCTATTCAGTGTGAATAGGGATGTTTCGATGAAAGTAATGAAAATAGGCAGAAATTCCATGTATGTTGGGAAGGAATGAAATTCCACAACTTCCAAAATGATAATGAAATGAACTTCACCTTTTTTGTTTCTTTTTCACTTCTCAACGTGCTCTACAGTGGTTAATATAAGTAAATATGTAAGTGTAAAGAGAAGGATGGCACAATATGACCAATAACAGAGTGCCCTAGGGAAAATTTAGGCATCTATTTAAAATACTGTCCTAGAAAAGTCTGGGAAACAGCAATTGATACACTGGGAAATAATTACTTTATCTTAAAAGAGTGGAAAAATGCATTAAAATGTCATTTAAGTTTTCCAGCAAATTGCCATTCTGCTTCTTTCTACTCTAGTGGGTATTACAAAGGTCAAAACAATGAAACTGATTTTGAAATATCAACAGAAATAATTAGTGTATTAGTCTTTTATATTTATGTAAAACCACTTAAATTAAGTAATAGAAGTAACTTTGTCCCTGTTCAGGAAAAGTTAACTGAAAGGAAGTTGTAGGAACGTTCTTACATTATTTTAGAGCGGAAGACTGCAGCAAAGTGTAGGGGAAAATACTCGGAGAAGAATTCATATCTCTCTGGGTTTGGTAAAACCAAAAAAACCCCACACTACTTGCCAGTAGTTAAAGTCCTCAGAGTCTGTTAAGAAGCTCAGAGAAATTGGTGAATATATTTT